TCATAATTTTAATTTTATATAACTGTTTGATTGGCACTATTGATACAGATCTTCATCATAAACCAATATCACTCAGCCTCATTCATCATTTTTTATGAGCATGAAATTGAAATGGATGATTTAACCACAAGATTAACTAATCAAAATCAGCATCCATAAAGCTAGCCATGAAATAAATAGTAGATAAAACAAGAGGGAGAAATTGTCTAAGGGAAAGTAAGAATAAAAACTATCAGAGAAAAAAAATGATAAAATATGAAATAATTGATAGAAGACATAACAGAATGATGTGGAGAAGGACTCAAAAACAATTCTAAACAGATACCTGAAAGCCAGGAAGAATAACTTGAAAAAATTCTTTCTGTTAATTTTAAAGAAATAAAGAAATTTATATAATATTTAATATAGGCTAGATGGTTAAAACACCTCAAACAACCACAAAAGTTCCAAAATATATTTTCTCAGACATGTATATTATTCAGGCTATAATTATTTACTCTGATATCTTTTAATTTCAGTATCCATGAATATGCTTAATATTCAATTTAATTGTTATTATAATCATTGATGCAGATCATACTGTCTGTAAGTTAGTTTAGTTAACATATGAGAGGAAGAATTTAGTAACATATATTGTATAAATAAGAATAATATTCAATTGTTGTCTTATTTTAACAAATTCAATAAATCAATTTTTTGGAACATATTTCAGGATAAAGTTACTGCTAACACTGCTTTGATTTAAAGTAAATTATTAAATTGCCAAGATTAATCTTAAATTATTTTTTCAAATTGAGTAATGATAATTCTTTTCTTATGAAATTTATCTAAAAAAATTATTGGCTGAATTATATAAACTCAATTATAAAATAAAAATAGGATCCAGATAAACAGATTATTTCAATAGCATATGTTAAATGTAATTTGGTTCATAGAAAGAAAATCCTCATACAAATGAATTAGTGAATTCATGTATAAGTATTTTATTTAAATCATATTTTAATGAACAGAAAAGATGACTAATCACTTAAAAATTGAATTTTTTAAAATTAAAATATTATTTATGAGAAGACTAAATGAAAAAACTGTTCATTCAATTTTAAATGTTTTCAATATTAATATATTTTTTTGTCTGTTCCAGTAAAAACTCAGATTATTATAATCTTTTATGAGACAATTTAGCAGCGATAATATACTATAATACAACTATTGTGACATCATCACAATGCGGAGCTACAATTTTTAATCATATTTTTAATAATTTTTTAATTTAAAATATATGCTCTCCACTTCAAATTAGTAGTGTACAGTACATCATATTTTCCAGGGACTGATATGCATTTTAGGAGGCATANTTTTTTCTTTAATTTCTTCACATCAACTAATTAAAAGTATTGTTTTAAATACTAGCATTTCTATCATAAAATACAAAAAGTTGGATAAGAAAATTTTTAAATGTATGTTTTCTTACATATTACTAATGTTACTTTCGATATACCAAGTCAGTATATGCAATTATGTAATTATAAATTGTGGTGTGTGGGTAATTATTTTTTATAACTCTTTCAAATATGAAATTACTAAATTACATGTGACAAATAAATTAAGAATTCTCTCCATGACATTTCAAATTATTAACTTAAAATTACCTATATTACATTATTTATATTAGTAAAATTTAAATTTATAGTATTTACCTTTAACAACTGATTTTCGTTTCAAACATAAAATTATTATTATAGTTACTGAGACAATGAGAACAATTCCACCAATTACTCCAGAGAGAATTATCAGCATAGGCAAACTCTCTGAAAATAGGAAAAATAATTTACTAGAGTTAATATGATTTATTGTTTTTGTGAGTTACATATCAAATGAGTATGATGACAAATGGATGAACAAAAAAATATGTAATGAAAAGAGCAAGAATATAAATAAAATGTCAGTACAACAAATAAGTTTAATTTATTATAGTAATACATGTGAATAGAGGGGACACAAAGATAAATATAGATGAGAAGAAAAAAAGGAAAGTTAAACTAAAAGAATATTAATGAAAAGAACTGCTGAGAAAATAGTAAAATTTATTAATAATACTTGTAAATGAAAATATCAGAAAATACATCAACATAAAATAAAAATTGTTGAAAAATCTTTGATAACAACAATTAATATATAATCTACATACACAAACACTACTATCTATTCTGTGGGAACTAGGAGGACTTTTAATGTGCTCATCATGACTTTAATAAGTCTATAATGCTACAGCTGGATGGTAAGATAGAAAATCTGACTTATCTGGTCTAGAAATCAGGCATGAAAATTTTTGAAGATCTAACTTAGACTCAAATCTAGTTCCTCAAAGTGGAGGCTTTGAAGGAGATATTAATTAATCTACACATATCCTCATATGTGTAGATTAATTAACATTTAAAATATTTTATTAACTATCAAGATAAATTTCATATTTCATATAAAAGAAAATATCTTTCTGAAACAACATATTCTATAATATTATAATAAATTGAAAGTAAATGGAAAGTTTTTTGTCATATGAGAGCTTTTGTATGATATATCTTTCTATAAGAAAAGCAAAGATGTATTTAACTTAATAAAAGTTTTACTACTGCAAATATTATAATAACTGATGTTTTAAAAAACTATAAAAATTATTTNTTTTCTTATAGAAATTCTTGGTAAGGAGGTAGACTCAGATTTATGGGCAGGTATCCTGAGCATGTGCCCAGGAGTCTCCACAAAAATAAAAAAAAAAAAATAATAATAATAATAATAATGAAAATAAAAATAAAAAAAGAGAAATGAGAGAAAAAATAAGAAATGATTCAAGAAATAAAATACAGCAGACTATATTTATAAATACTGCATAAATTTAAAGTACAGAATGCTATAATAGAATTTACATGGGCATTAGTTGCTACAAGGCATCTATAACTGTGAGTTCCCTGGGCTCCTAAATAAATAAATCCATCTCTGTAAGGAGCAGAACATTCTAACATCTTCCTCTAACTATGAATCTCCTTTCCATTTTTGGATAGTCTTATTCATTTGTCATGATTCAAGGTGATGAAAAGCACCTTTAGTTATTTATTATGTAAGTTGACAGCTTGGAAGAAGTAGATTACCGATGGAAACTAATCTTACTGTGTTAACTTTATCTTCCAAATGAAACAATACTTTATTACTCATTTCAGCTGAGGTTCAACCAAGTTTTTTCCCATCCCAACATTATCCTTAATTATCACTGATTGTGATAATTGTTACAGACAATGGAATCGCTACATGCAGTGCTGTAGCTAACTTTTTATATCCCTGTTCAAGCTATATTATATTTTTGGTCTCTTCTTTTTTTGGAAAATATATAAAAATAAAAAGCAAATACAATAGAAAGGGTCTATTAATTTTTAACTTTAACCAAAAGCATTATGGAATCAGTCCATATGGCAGCAAAAATTAAAATTAGAAAATTAAAATATAATACTGATCATTTATTGATATCTCCATTTCAGAGTTCCCTTTCATCCTGGGCTCTTTACCTGTGCACTTGTTGCATGTACCTAGTTATGACACTGTTCATATGGATTGCAGAACTGAAGCCACAGCTTCTTTCACACTTTGTTTATGCATTGTTCTAATATTTTACTCCACGCAAACTTGGTCTCCTCATAGAGGATAAATCATTGAGTTGGGTAATTTCAAATTTTTAAAAAATGAAATATAAATGTTGCAATGATGCCATTAACTTCAGATTCAGAAATCAACAGAAAAATAACTTCATACCAAATGAGACTGGAAAGTAATATTAATGAAAAACCTCAGTAGAGCCTTTTTTTTTTTTTTTTTTATGTTAACATTTCAAAATGCATTCCATTTTACATAGACCTGAGGAAGATCTCACCTATATCAAAAACATTTGTCTTTAAACATTTCTTTATCATTAAACAGTACTGGAAACAAAAATGGCTCTAAATTGAATGAGGTTTTTTATTAACTTCAGAATCACATAAAAAAGAGAAAAAAGAGTCAAAAAAGAAATTACAAAGTGTGACTAAATATCTAAATGAAAAAATAAATACGAGGTAAAAATTATTATAAGAATATTTGTGAATTGTAGAAAATTTAAAAAATAGCTTTTTATACATTTGAATTAAAATTAAAAAACTTTTTAACTGAAATATTCTATTTGTCATTAATAGAATGATTTATTCAATTATTATTATGATTAATATGGAGAACTGCTCAAAGTTTGTGGATGAAATAAAAGTTGTAAAATTAATGAGCAAATTATACTTTTTGTTAGTATATATAAAAAAAAATAAAAAATCCTATGTTGTATGAAATTTTACTTCATATCAAATAGCTGTTTAATATTACATCTGTTCTATTCTCTAATTATTTATTTCATTTTTGTTAAATTTATGGTAACAATTGAAACTAACTGATTTTCAATATTTTGTTTAATAAACACAATTATAAATATTTCAGTCAAAATTCTATGTAAATCCTTTTAAAATAAAAAACCGCTAGATGATTAAAAACATGGCAGTAAAAACTTAACAATTGTTAATAAATTTCTGTATTTAAATATTTTTCCTTGAAATTATATTTTTAATTCTATTTTTGAAAAATTTTATAGCTTTTTTCTTTAATTTCTTCACATCAACTAATTAAAAGTATTGTTTTAAATACTAGCATTTCTATCATAAAATACAAAAAGTTGGATAAGAAAATTTTTAAATGTATGTTTTCTTACATATTACTAATGTTACTTTCGATATACCAAGTCAGTATATGCAATTATGTAATTATAAATTGTGGTGTGTGGGTAATTATTTTTTATAACTCTTTCAAATATGAAATTACTAAATTACATGTGACAAATAAATTAAGAATTCTCTCCATGACATTTCAAATTATTAACTTAAAATTACCTATATTACATTATTTATATTAGTAAAATTTAAATTTATAGTATTTACCTTTAACAACTGATTTTCGTTTCAAACATAAAATTATTATTATAGTTACTGAGACAATGAGAACAATTCCACCAATTACTCCAGAGAGAATTATCAGCATAGGCAAACTCTCTGAAAATAGGAAAAATAATTTACTAGAGTTAATATGATTTATTGTTTTTGTGAGTTACATATCAAATGAGTATGATGACAAATGGATGAACAAAAAAATATGTAATGAAAAGAGCAAGAATATAAATAAAATGTCAGTACAACAAATAAGTTTAATTTATTATAGTAATACATGTGAATAGAGGGGACACAAAGATAAATATAGATGAGAAGAAAAAAAGGAAAGTTAAACTAAAAGAATATTAATGAAAAGAACTGCTGAGAAAATAGTAAAATTTATTAATAATACTTGTAAATGAAAATATCAGAAAATACATCAACATAAAATAAAAATTGTTGAAAAATCTTTGATAACAACAATTAATATATAATCTACATACACAAACACTACTATCTATTCTGTGGGAACTAGGAGGACTTTTAATGTGCTCATCATGACTTTAATAAGTCTATAATGCTACAGCTGGATGGTAAGATAGAAAATCTGACTTATCTGGTCTAGAAATCAGGCATGAAAATTTTTGAAGATCTAACTTAGACTCAAATCTAGTTCCTCAAAGTGGAGGCTTTGAAGGAGATATTAATTAATCTACACATATCCTCATATGTGTAGATTAATTAACATTTAAAATATTTTATTAACTATCAAGATAAATTTCATATTTCATATAAAAGAAAATATCTTTCTGAAACAACATATTCTATAATATTATAATAAATTGAAAGTAAATGGAAAGTTTTTTGTCATATGAGAGCTTTTGTATGATATATCTTTTTATAAGAAAAGCAAAGATGTATTTAACTTAATAAAAGTTTTACTACTGCAAATATTATAATAACTGATGTTTTAAAAAACTATAAAAATTATTTATAGATATGAAAATATTTCAAAGTAATTTAATGTTTGTTTTTTGTTACTGAAATACATGCAATATTTTTATTTGCTTGAATTTGTAAGAAATATCAAATGATAATGTTAACTTTTTTCAAAATTGAAACATAAAAACATTTAATTTTATTGGATTGTTTTGAGATAAAATATAATAATCAAGCTAATATGTTACAATGATTAATGAGCTGAAAGTACTGCTTAAGCTTGAAAATAGATATTTTAAGAAAAATACAGCACAAATGCAATAGAATTTTATCAAACAGTTTTTCAATTAAATTTTGAAATAAGAGTGATAACTATAAAGATACATATTTTTAAGCAAGTAAATGAAATATACATTTGCTAATAGCATACCTCTCACTAAATTTGACAAAATTACTTTTCAGAAAACTTGAATTAAACTAATATTGTTTTATGGTTTTGCATATCAAAAATACTGAATACCAATAGAACATTCTTTATTACTATACACAACTAGCTTGTGATTTCATTACTTCAAAAATATGTTTGTTATCTTACAGTAAATAATAGAAAAAATAGTATCTGAAAAGCATAAATAAAAACTTTGTTAGAGCTATACAGATGCATTTAATATAAATTCTAGGTCATTATCTAGGATATACATGTATCATATCATTATGGTAAGTTTTGTGCATATATTAATTTAAATATATGTAAATTGATTTAGAAGAATATTTTTCACACAGTCTTGATATTATAAAAGTCTATGCTCTTTTATTATTCATTAGATTAAGTTTTGTAGTAATTAAATAAAAAATCTGCCAATTATACATAATATACTTACTTTGCTTGCGAACAGTGATAAGAAGACTATCATGGCCAAATTCATTCCAGACTGAACAATTATATTGACCAAAATGGTCATCCTCAGCATTATGAATGACTAACATATTTTTTACACCATCAGGTTGAGGTTCTTCAACAATTTCATATCCTTCATTGTTATCTATGTCTAAATGCTGTAATTAAATAGATAACTTAAAATTTGTTCATATACCATAAAAATAGTTGATATTATATATTAAATAAATTAATAAGAATTTGATGAAATTACAGAGAGAAAGAGTAATTAAAGATTCATAATACCTGAGAATTTTTTGACCATGTGATACGAGTTGGAGGTGGGACAGATTCTACCAAACATTCTACTTTTACTAATTCTCCTTTAACTCCATATTGAATTGATTCACTAATGACTTTAGGAGCACCTGCTCATTTAAAAGAAAAAAAATGTATAATTATTCTAATATTCAAACAAATAATAATTATTACAATGATTGAATTTTAAAATTTTAAATATTCATTAAATGTTTAATGAACTTTTCTTAGACAACTTAATGTTGCTGCTGTATATTTCAATTATAAATAGAAAAAAAACACAGAGAAAGAGTGGTGTATCTGTAACTGATTAGAAATTTGATTAATATAAATAAGTTTACCTTTTATGAAAACCATAACATCACCAGAAATTTCTGCAAATCCCTTTCCTGATGCTCGGCATGTATATTTTCCTGCATCTTTGATTGTTGCAGATTTTATAATTAATTCTTGTTGTGTACTAAGAACTGTTGGAGATCCTTCAAATGTCCAAATTATTTCTGGTGTAGGATTTCCATCAACATCACATTTTAAATGTATATCGGAGCCAATGTCAACAGCAATGTTTTCAAAAGATGATTTAAATACTGGTCCATCTATAAAAATGTATTTATACAGTAAATTTAATTATAGTATTATATAAATATATGCACATGTGCAAAACGTCTATAAATATTAAAACATTAAATTAATTACATTGTACTAATAAAAATATTACCCATAACAAAACTGACAAAAAAATACATATTTGTCAGTAAGTATGAATTAAAATATCTAAATTTAAATTTTATTTCTATTTTATTAATATTGCAATAATAATAAATTTATTAAAATTTCTACTTATGAAGTAAATTGTAAGAAAACTGTTTTGAGATATTATTTATACTTCTGCTTCTATTGTCTTTTTAAATTTCAATATGTAACCAGTTCAAACACCATTATTTCCTAGGAATATTACATTCACAATGGTGTTTGAACTGGTTACATATTGAAAAAAGACATATTTTGAGAACTTTTTTATTGAGAAATTTTTAAATTTTATTAAATACAAATTTCAAAGCAAGGTATATATATATATATATATATATATATCAATGAAATATTTACAATTAATATAGACTTTCATTAAAACATTATAATAAAATAATTACTAAAAATTCTTGAAAGTCTGCTATGTTTTGATTTAATAATAAAAATTTTATATAATTTTTTATATTTTCATTTTACTAATATAGTTAACTCTACAAATAATTGTGACACACATCTTATTCTGAATCTTTTCAGTATTTAGACCAACTTTAGATTAATATAAAATGTATAATACTTGTTATTTATAGAGTAATATAGATAAAACAGAGTTTTTTTTTTAAAGAAATTTAATAATATTATTTTATCAATAATATAAAATAATATCATATGCACTTTGAGAGTTATTTTAAAAAATCATATATGTCTTTATATAATTGCAAAGATCTATTAAATGTTATAAGTTACATATAAATTTAATGCATAACTTCTTATATAATAATATAATATAATGTTATAAAATGTAAATTTGACTCCTATATACAGCTTAATAGAACCATATCTGTAATGAACTTTTAATTAATCTGGTATATAGCATTATTATGTTAAGATTAGTTTATTTTATATTTAATATTAATATTGTTTTTTGTATCTGAAACATTTCTTTGAATTTAATTTTATTGTCAAAATTTAAAGATAAAAAATCATTTTAAACATTATAAATATAATGTTAAAAAAATGTAAAAAATGAAACAGAAATATTTCACAAAATTAAAAAAAAATTCACTCTAACATCATATAGCAATTGAATTTAATATTACCCAATTCAATATTCATTGTAGTTATTTATTTATAAAATATTAATATAAATAAAAATTGAAAGAAACATTTGATGAATGATTATGACAAATAAGAATGATATTCAGTCATTTTCTTTATATTTATAACATTTTCTAAAAGTTGTTTGAATTTGATCAATAAATATATGAAAATAATGATAATGGATTATGTAGAAAAAATGTTTATGGTTTTTCAGTTTGACAAGATTTAAATTTAAATTTCTTAATAGACTATTAATATAATAAATAAACAAATTATATAATATTGCACAAATGTTTAAATATTTGCATTCTATTCTTTTCTTCAGACTTTATTGTAATAATAGAATAAAAATTTTAAGCTGAATGTTTTATAGTAGTTACAAATTGTAGGCATGAATTAAAAGTAATTACAAAAAATATATGCAATTTAGAAATAATATGAATTTTTACAGTAAATTGTTTTGTCAATTACAAAGTCAAAATATAACACACATTTCTTTAGGTAAAATTTTAAAAAATCCATATATATTGTTATATAACTTTGAAAATATAGAATTCTTTATTTATCTAACAGTATGCTTTTAAGATGGAGAACTACAACAAAAAGATTCAATGAATATTTTCAAGCTTGTATAAAAGCATTTCTTTGAGATGTTTTTGGAAAATGTTTTATCTTGTAAATATTTTGTATTTAACTATAATTTTGTCAAATACCATTTGCCAGGGGACATTTCCTCAATCTACATTTTAGATTAAAGGTTCTACAATATTCCATTTTATGTTACTATGTTATCATTTATGTTCAAAATAAAATTTCTAGGCAGCATTGAAAAAAATGCACAGAAAACAATATTCTTTTGTTAATCTTTATTTTTACACTAACACTGTTTCATTTCATAAACTTTTTAATATTAAATTACAATAATAAAATCTTTTTAACACAGAAAATGTATACATTGGTAATTTTTCTAGGACAAATTTTTTATTTTATATGTTTGGATTTAATTGTTTTTTTTATTAAGGTTTTAGTATTTAAAAAATAAAAATTATAAAAAATATAATTATATAGGGTTTTATAAAGTAAAATCATCACAATGATTAAATCATTGAACAAATAATTTAATATTTACTATTTATTGTGACATGAACAAAATATGACTAATTTTGTATAATAGAATATGTCATAGTTTTAATATTAATTTTTCTCATCAGAAATTGTATAAATTAATGTTAACAATCAATGAATCATTAAATTAATTACAATATAAATCAAAGATAATTATAAAAATGACTATCATTAGAGATGGTCATTCTGCTTATGAAAATCTTTTAATACTTACAATAAACATTTAATGTATGTGTAGATTTACTTGTTCCTACTGAATTACTAACTTCACAACTGATGGTATCTCCATTAAAATCCCTTGTAATTCTAGGAATAACATATACTGTATTTTGATCTCCAACTACTACTTCATCATTCCTAATAAATAAATAAAAAGTTTATTAATAATCAGAAAATTATAAATACAAATATTATAACATATTCTTAATTTATTTGAATCTTTGGTCAATGAAACTAAGAATTTCAATTTACTGTATATATTTATCAATAGACAATAAATGTCTAACATTATTTAACAACAACTTCTCTCTGCTTGATGATAAGAGCACAGTGGCAGTGCCTTATACTTATGAACAATACTGTAAAATGGTTATTGTACACAGAAAAACAAGATGAAATGAAAGAGAAGCAGCATGCAGATTTTATAACCATTTTCCAGCTACTCCGAGATCAATGTATACAACAATTCTGAGTGTTATTCACTGCTTTTCACAGACTGCTGGCCAGGAGTGGATCTAGGTTTTTCGGGGCCTAGGGCTTATTGAAGTCCAATGGGGCCCATATTGTGTTAGATTAAGAATCTTTAAATCAGGTTTAAAATTCATTTTCAATAACATCAAAATCAGAGTTGAAATATATTTATTTATGAAATAGTGTTGAATGGCAAACTTTATATCGATAAGTGCTCATTGTTAATAAAAAAGTATTAAAAATTTATGATGATAATTCAATTCTTGTGGGCCCAGAGCTTAAGCTCTATTAACCCCTAAGTAGATATGCCCCTGCTACTGGCACAGTTAGGAGTCATGGATTAGGTAGTGCTCATTTTAATAATATGGGTGCGTTGGTATACTTCCATGCCTATCTGCATTCAAGCACATGTGAAGCAGTAAGTCTGTGTGGCTGCAGTAGACACAAATATCTGGTATATGACATTGCCTTGATGTGACTCATTCTGCTGATATCTGCAACCAGCACAGCATGCAGAGAATGTTCCACAGATTGGATGTTGCAACATGATATTAAATTTATAGCATGATGAACCACAACTCTTTCAGCACATTACTAATGGACTGATGAAACACTGTTTTCCTTCAATGGAGTGTATAACCATAACAATGTTCCACAATGCACACAACACCAAGTGTGTTGTGTGCATTGGACAAACTGGACAAATGTGCATCAGTGGCTCTCAAAGTGATTTGGCAACCATGGGATAGGAGAACACAGACCTGTTCCATGGCCACCATGTTCCCAAGTTGATGATCTGGATTTTTCCCTATGGAGTCATCTAAAAGTATCAGCATATGATTCATACCTAGCATTGTTGTGCAATATTGGTGAAATGGAGCAATACATATGAGAGGCCTGTGAAATAGTGCACCAGGAATGCTATGTGCCATCCATAAAACCATGCTCAACCAACTGCATCTTTGTATTACTGCTGAAAGCAGTCATTTTGAATATGTTTTCTAACAAAATAAAGCTAACTTTTTTGTATCAGTTTCTACAATATTGTCTTCATCTTTTACAGTCAGAGATTATTTGTATGCTATGCTAAATTGTCTAAAATTGATTTCCTTTGTTACTTTAGCAATGGAGCAGGCATGCACCACATGCAAACATCTGTGCAATGCTGGAAAGATATCTTTTGCCTCTTAAGTGACTACACTGTACAGTTTTTGCAAGTATGAGCAAAAGAAGCAGCTTAAATAATATTAACAATAATTCAAAATATTTTAATAAAAAAAATCCAGTAGAGAGATATCTTGCAAACTTAAACTATTTATCTAGATTAAACTTTAAAATATACTAAATATATTAAATTGTGCTTATTATCATACAAACTTTAAAAATGAAACAAATATTTCATTTATATTAATTTACCTGTTTAATGCTTTTTCATTTTTAGGAAATCTAATTTAATTATTAAACTGAAGTTTTTATTTATTTATAATTAAATTAAGAAGAAAAAATTCAATGAAAATAATAAGTTTAGTCAATTTTTCCCTTAACAAAATCTCTTATGTGCTTTTCAACTATTTAAAAATTAAAAAATAGATTACAAATCAGAAAAAGATATTATGAGATGAAAGTTGTTTGCATTAAGAACAATTCTGAGATCAATAGTTAATCAAATGTAAAAATTTTAATTTGTTTCATGCAAATAATATAGATATACAATAGATTCTCCCTTATCTGAATTGACATGGGTGGGAGTGATCCAACTATGAGATAAAAATCAGGATTACAGAGTGTGATATTTTTAAAATAAGACTGTAGTATATTATATGCCTCTGTATGTATAAAAAACTACTTATTTTTGACAATTAAATTTATAATTACAATTAATTTTGAAAGTATTGTGTTAAAATTGTTTGTTTTGTTCTTTGCTGGATTCTGTCACATCATTCCAATACCTCATCACTATCATGTCAGCAGGGGTAATTGTAGGAGATTTTTTGTAAACTCATCAAATGGGTAGGCAGAATTTCAAAAACATGATGCAGATTGGAATAGTATAGAACACTTTAGAAAATGTTTGGTTGCCTTAGATCAGTCTGGATATGGGAGAGTCTACTGTATTAGAAAATATTACTTCTGTTTTAAAGTAGCATTTATTTATTCTATAATAATTTACATTTATCAGCTTTATCTTTCTTTATTCTAAAAACAAATATTCTTCTTTAAATTATTATTATTTTATTTAATGTTAAACATTCAAAACATTCTATTTGTCAAAATAATTTAAACATAAATTACTGTGTAATGATAATGATATATAACCAAAAGAGTTTTGTAAAACAAAAAAAATTATTTTGATTTGTAATTAGTGAATCACTTGTTTTGAAGTTTTCATTGTTACTTAGAGAGAACTGTTTACAACTATATGAAACTTTGTTGCATTAAATTTGCTTTGAATGTCATAACTCTGTTGTAATGAAATGGTGGTATGATTTAAAGTTTCTGACTGAATTCATAAGAAAAATTTTGATGAAAATTAAAATTATAAATAATAAAAATTAATTAAAATATTAAAATTAAAATTGAAGAATCAATAATACATCAAACAAAAGAAATTTTGAGTGTTCAATATAATTCAATGGAGATATTATTGTTTATACAAATAGAATTAAAAATAAGCTTACAATTTTAATATATTAGAATTGTGGACAGATGGGACTTTTCAAGAAGTCCGAGAGATATATGGACCATTGACAGTGCCTATGAATATGAAAGTGCTAGTGCCAGGCAACCACCACCACTGGCACCTCTAGAAATTTTCCAACTTCTCATTGGCCCCATTTGCCACTGGTTGGGCTGCAATTTGAAAAAATTGTAACCTGCCTGCCTATCTGTCTTTCCTTAATTTCAAGAATGGTGTTAGGTAAGACCAGATATGGAAAGCTTAGGGGCAGGAGGCCCCAATTAACTATATATGAACTTCTGATGCAAACTAGAAGTCACATTATTTCAATTGAAAAATTTTTCCCTAAAAGGAGTTAGAGAGATGACTGACATGACTCTATTGCTAATGGAAAAGTATGATGTATTGGAGCAAGACACTACAGAACTAATTTGAGGTGGAGAGCATATATTTTATTAGAATTGTAAATTCTTAATAATGAATTTACAAATATATTTATTTAAAGTAAAAATTTACTTACCTATACCATTTATACACAACATCTGCTGGATTAGCAACAGCATCACATGTAAATTTGACATTTTCTAACTCTGTAATTTTCTCTTGATTAACATGCAATGTAATTTCAGGAGCATCTATATATAAAAATATATCAAAGTTATTTCAGTAGAAATTTATGTATAGTGTGTAGAAATATTTATATTTATTTATACAGCCAAACACTGAAATTAATTACAACTAAATATTAATCTATTATGGACATACAACTAAATATTATTCTATTTCTGTTAATAAAACAGAAATAGAATAATACAGTATTTAGTTGGATGCACATACTTTGAGTAAATTATGATGTTTTAAATTTTATTTTATATTTCATTGATTTTAATTTCAGAGTTAACTGAAAACATTATGCATTTCAGAAATTAGGTTCTGATATAGCTGGAAAATGGAGTTAATGATTTTGAGTCAAATAAAGCTGCAGAAAGGATTTTAAGCTCTTTGTCCACTTTTCATAATACTGTACTGATGAATTAAAAAAATATTGATAGTATTTCAAATTTTAAAACTTCTGATAAACTTGTCAGAAGTTTTAAAATTGAAGATACTAACAATTACAACAATAAGATGATTTTTATTCCAAGTAGTAAACCCACCACCATTAAATATATTCAATGAGTTTCAAACTACCTGCCAGAAAATGGATGTGAACATTAAAATTGTTTCTAGAAAATGAAAAATAAGAATAATTTACATAGAGACTCTATGAAGAAAATAGAAAATGAGATTCATAACAGAGTTAATAAGACAGAGCTACAGATTATATAATGAGAGTTATCAATCATCAGACATGAAAGTTCTAACAATAACTACAATTAACAGTTGAAAACAATAAAAATAAGGAATATTTAATATTACTATTACAGAAAAGCTGAATATTCTCAGTAGTGCTGACAAATTTAAAGTACTGTAATTTGGTTTATACATGGAATGGATGGTAAAGAAGATGGTAAAAATCTTATTGTCTTAAATCTTAAACTGAAAACAGATTCTGACATTACAACAAAACAGAACAGAAGATTCAGTATACATGTAAAGTGGATAAAGATATTAGCATAGAAAAGTAAAGTAAAATAAAGAAAGGACACAAAAACTACCACTAGTAGATTTAATGTAAGAATAATTTGTAAATAAGAAAATTTGAATTGTGAGATAATAATTCTTATATGTTCTACTATGATTAAAATGATGTAATTATGTATATCCTGAAATGTCATATTTTTCTGGATTATGATTCTTCTGATTATTATTATATAAACCTGAAATTTACTTCATATTGACTGACTACAACGTTTTAACTTCTGATTCTAATTAGGATTGACTTCTGTATTGTACTGTATGTATTGTACTGTATTGTACTGTATGTGTAGAAGTATTGTAAAATCTTCCACAAGAATTTTTTACAATCAGACCATCTTTATTGTTTGAATATAATTTAAGAAAAAAATGCATTACTGATTTTAACCAGCTTATCAAAAATCAATAATTTTTTCAATAATTATTTGAAAAAAATAACAAGATTTCCTATTATTTGTTTAATTTAATATGTACACATAATTCATAAAAGTAGTATTTTGAACAAAGATTAGCAAAAATCTCTGTTCAAAATTTTTTTTTTATTTATAAAAAGAAAATAATGAAGAGATTATGTTCCTTAGTATGATCTATTGTGGGATCAATTTAGTTTCTGTATAAATCTTATTATCTGATTTAATGATTATTATTGGATAGAATTTTTAACTGCTGAGCCAATTGAAAAAAATATAAAAAATAAAGCAATCTAAAAATTAAATTATAGAAATAATTGTCAATCTGTTCTTTTATTTAAAAAATTCACAAAATTATATCTTTCCTTGTGTTCTATTTGATGTATTTATGGCTGTTATTAAAAAACATAATTCTAAAATAAGTATAGAAGTATAATATATTTTAGCTAAAAGCCAAATATAAAAATACTTCATTTTATCAATGTATAACAATTTTAACATACAAATAAGATACCAGTCATCCTCATTTGAATCTGAACACTATCTAAATTTATATAGTTACCTTTATATATGTATTAAAATGGAAATTAATGAGATTAATTCCAAGTTGCTGTATATCACAAGTTCTAGTAATTCAACATGGAATAGATTGAATCACAACATGAATATATCATCAATACATCATAATGAACTCATTACAAAATGATAAAGATAATTAATTAAAGATGAATATCGACTTACCAACAAACACACTTTGTTAAGCAAGAAAGTGATTACTACTTACATTTTACTTCCATTTTCATTGAGGCATAGAGGGGTTGTTTCAAGGCGGGATTTTCCGATCTACAAGTAAAAGTTTTTCCATCGTGTTCTCGACTAGGCACCAATGTCCATTTAAGAGCGGCATTGGCTCTTTTGCCGTCGCTCAACGTTTGCGTGGTATATTCTATATTTCCTGTCACCATGTTCCCATCGCCATCCAACCACGTTAACTATTAACAAATAATAACAGAATCTAATTAGACTTAGAACTAAACAAATTTCTTTGTGTTAAAGATCTTAACGTAAATCCTCACGTAACCGACCATTGGTACAGCTGTTTTGAATGCAATTTTGCAAGTCTATTTTTATTGAAAAGCGTTTCACTATTACCTATAGGCGATTATGTGAGGATTTACCATAATAACTTTTTTCTAAAGTGTTAATTAATAACTTTTCGTTGTGATTGTTTTGATAAAATTATTAAAATTCATAAGAAATCTCGTAACTCCTACACCACTCGGAAAAAATTTGCCAGGAGCTGAATCGAAAAAAACCATGATCCTTTCAAAACGTGGCCAATTAGCCATCAGATGTTTAGTATTAAAAAGTACATAAATTATAGAAAATTTATTGTTGAATCAGCAGCACACTGCATTCAAATTGATGACTGTTTAGCTGAACTCAATTTTCGTCAGTTTGGCAGATTAGATTTGTAATGAGATTGGCTATTTGGGATAAAGAATTTTTCATGATATTTATTGTAAATTCGATCACATACAAGGGTTAATTTCTAAATGCTTCAAGTCACCTTTATAGAATAAAAGAAATTGGAAACAAGAAGTAATAAAAAAGCATAAAATAAAATACACCAAATGCAGGACATGTATGCGTTTGATTCAAAATGAAAAAATCATATTCGCATTAGTTTGTGTATAAAAAATCTTGCAGAATATATTGATAATTTTTAAAAAATATTTTAAAAGATATTTTGAGACAGTAACTTTCAAAATTCTTTAAAAAAGATAATGTATTATTCCAAATCAGGACTTCATATATATACAGTATATAATCATTATTATTATTCTTCGTTATACATATATGTAAAAAAATAGATAACACATACAAACGTACAATACGTAAACACTGGCATACAGTGTTAATGTATTGTACTATACATAGGAGAGGGCATCAGAATACAGAATGCTGAAGGTGGTCCCAGCATCCTTAATCCGGCATTGCCCTGAACAGATAGAAAATGATCAGTTCGTTTTAAATTAATTATTTTTAAGTTTAGGGGGGAAAGCGTTACCTTAAACAAATTAATCTTAGATAATTTTAAAATAAAAATAATTATATTCATATTATTTTATACTTGCATCAAGAAAAATGAATAAATATGTAGCCTATATAAATTTTTCTTTCCAGAATGCCTAGTATATATAACCTAACGTGGTACTCGGTAACCTAACGTGTATATATATATATATACGTTATGTTCGCATTAAGAGTCTAATATATCGGTATGAAAAATCGCAAAAATAAATTCGTGTTGCAATAAAATATGACATTTCCTATTCCGAATTCTGATATCTGGAAAGTTTTCTTTTTCTCAGCAAAGAATGTATTAATTTAACGAAATAACTTAAAAAACTGGAAGTTTTTCATTTCTGAGCAACATGTTATTTGAGTATATATGTTTTATTTAAAAAAATATAAAGTTAAATGCATGGAAATTTTAACTTGGCAAGTTATGTTTAAGAACAATTCTCCTGTCAAAGCTGATATTTTCGCTATTATTTTTCTCTTTAAGCCATTTTTAGAGACATAAAACTCGGAAATCCTGAAAGGATTTTTTTTTCAAAGTGTATATACAGTAGTAATGCATTTTATCTTATATATAACCTATCGATATTGAGAACTATATTCTTGGATTTTTTGAATTTGGTCTGCTCATTTCTTCTATTGTCTACTCAACTAGATGTAAAGTTCTTATCACATATCTCTGCATTTTTCAAAACGTATCGATTCATTTTAAAATCAGATAACAATGGCGATAGTTTATCATAAAATCGAATGATTCTTTTAAAAATTTGGACTTTCCAGAAATATACAGGTTAATAGGTTATGTTGCTTTCAAAGAGAGTAAAGCTGATATTATCTGGGATTACAGAGACATGAAAATATCCGATCATAGAACTAATTTAATATTTTAAAGGATACATTTTCCAAAAATTTTTCGTAAAAAAAGGTTAAACTGTATCAAGAGAATAATATGAAAAAATTAGAACTTAAACTGACACGATCATCCCCTCCATCCTTTTTAGAGAGGAAAATTAAAGGTTTATTTCATGATAAAAAAATTGTGTTAACTACAACTATAATAGGCCTACATTTTATCGATATTAGCCTACACTTAGGAATAATTTTTACGACATGATTTCATAAATATAGATTTAAATACTCAACTTCCACTATTGTAAAACGTTAAGAGTAAAATATAAAAGATTATCTTTTCGCTGTCATTGAGTTCGTTGAAAATTCATTATAGTGTTCAAATTACCAACTGCCGATAAGAAAAGAAAAGTGTTTTATCAGATTTAAAGTAGATGAAATATGAAAAACGATGAAAATAACTTCTAAAAGATATGTTTATCATTTTCATCATTCCGACATAATGCACGCTTAGTGAAGATCAAATTACAACTGCTAACATACATAGTGAACACATATAGACCATGTGTAAATATGGATGAAACTGCCTGAACGATGGATATAATATTTTCTGAACTCAGGTGGCAAATACCGTTATCGATAAATTGGCAAATAGGCCTATGTGACCCTATCTACTATCTGTAAACTTTCATTGATGCGCAAGTTTTGACACTACTTCCGACAATATAAGAGACCCAATGAAAGTTTAATTAAATAGTCAAAAACAAGCTAAAAACGATAGCAGTATAAATATCAGAAAATTGAATTACAGTTTTACTGAAAGTCTACACAATTGATGTGTGCCTTTTACATATAATTTATTTCTAGTTTATTAAAAAATATGATTTTTTTAAATTGAAAGACATTATTCGTTAAGAGCAAGAAATGTTTCAAAGAAAGCGTTTTATATAACATTAATCTTCATGGAGCATTAGTTATATCGCTTTATAACGATATTACAATTAAACTTCAAAGTTTCTTCAAAGTAAAATTTCAAACTTTCGACAATTTACAAGGCCATGAATGTTTCAATTGCTATAAAATCTAGCTATTAAGAAGTAGCATTAGTTCGGAAAAATTTTATAGCAGAGAACAAGATTCTGTTTAAAATTTAAAAAAAATATATATTAATCTATTGGCTTCCCTTTTTTTCAAGTTAATTTTGAAACATTGAAGAATAAAATAAAGTAATTTTCGTAATCTTCAATAATTTCCCAAATTATAAATCAATGTGGAACACATCCAGTATTCAGTATCACACAAAAATCACAAACTTCAGGATCAGATATTCAGAAGAATTTTAAAATAGATATGACGATTTCAAGCAAATTAAAACGTAGTAAATGTGTGTGAAGTCTTGGATAATACAATATTAATATTTATTTTGATCGCTAAATATTTAATTACATCAAATGATTTTAAAATTTTGTTAGGATAACTGTAATTCAGATTAACATAAAATTTCGATAACATACTGTACATTCTTAATGAAGTCTATTACTGAATTTTGGCCGGTTTTTTCTTTCTTCTTGATTTGAGAGATTTGACAATTAACGAACTGCTTAAAATTTTCGAAATAACGAAGATAATGAAGTAGCATCATCCGCTTAAAAGGAAGATGTTTCAAAGATGCGTGCGAGATATTACAATTAATAGTAAAGGATATTAAGGAGAAATATCTGGTAGATTAGTGAAGGGGGATTAGGCAGCTCGTTACCGGCCGCATACTGATATTACTCGTTAAAGCGCAGTCGGTCAAAATTGTTTCTTCTTTAGAAGCCATTACGGCATGGTAGAGAAAAGGACGAGAACAATTATCATTCTAGTTGCCGGAAAACTCTTTTAGCATTTTAGCCGGTCCAATTTACTTTCTTTTTGTTTTCTTCCCATCGACACTCGGAAGCCAAAGCCGGAAAACGAGTGGAAACGGATGATTGAAGTAGTTATCTATGCACGGCGGAATGATTATGGAAAGTACTGTCATTATTCGAAGGTTTCCTTACACGTAATCTCCCTCGACGGCCAACTGCTTCGCATTTATCTTGTTTTATATATCCGAGAGTCATTGTGCCTGACAGTAATGAAGGTAACTACAGGACTAATTTACATGACAAAATACTCATTTCAAGTTTGTGCACTTTGTAATTGCCTTTTTTTTACGTTTGTTTTTCTCCTACATTTTATTATTTCTATTAGGACCAAATTTATAACGAGAGAAGTCGTCCTCTATTTTTAGCAGAAACGTTAAAGAAAATACTTAATTTTATCCCGAGGGTGAATGGCCCATCTCGGTCTTTCGATGCTCAACCGCAACTTCGTTTTCTCACCTGGATAAAAAGGATCGCTCAAACCACACCTAACTTCGGATTGAACCTCATTCTTTACTAAAATGCGGTTTATAAAATTTTATTCTTCACAACTTTCTGATGGCAGATAGGGCAGTTTCACTTTCTTAGTAAAGGATTTAACAAGATTCAAATTATAACAGAATTGATAAGCCAACAAATTTGAAGGTACGAGTAAGCTCAATAAATTAATTCCACTAATGAAAATCAGCAGTCATGTTAGTGGAATTATATATACTTAGGTGAAAAAGTTCTCTTGAACATAAAATATTTAATATATTATTCATTTTTGCTATCGTTTATGTTCTTTCATGCTCAATTTAAAAAAATTGTAAAAGAATAATTGAAAATATATTAACAGTTTTTGCTTATCATATATTTATCACAGTGGATTCGAAAAGTTACATCTATCTTTACTTGTTTTCGCCTGCATTCATTCAGATAAACGAGTGTAATATTGTCTGTAAACGATTCTATCTTCTTTCTTTTTTTAGGATGCTGCTACAAAATATATCATTAGGAAAAGTCGTTAAGCTATCTTACATTTATCTATCCTTCAAACGATGACACAGGATTCTGTTACATCATGTATTTAGGTAATCTAATATCGGACGTTCGTTACATGAGGAAACAACCTCAATTTTAGCATTGCTTTTAATTTTTCAAATGTTATGATTACATATACTTTTTAAGTAAGGAACAAAAATCATGAATACTTAATATTAGAATGAATCACGTATTACTTTTAAAGGTATGTTGCTTGTAAATTGCTGTATTTGTCATCAGTTAAATAAATATTTAGTTTTGTAAAAAAAATGTGCAAGGTCTTTGAAAAAACTTCATTATTCTGAAATATTACAAAGATTCTATTTTTTAAAATATATTTTAGAAGTGTTAAAAATTATTATTTTCTTTATAGATTGAAGGTTATAAATCATGAAGCTCTAGATGATTTTGAGCTTCCTTTACAGTGTCACCTAATTGTGTCCATTCCAGTTAATTAAAGTCGCCATCTCTACCGGATTTGCCAGGAGATTCCTGGAATTTGGCAAACATTTTTAAAATTCTCTGACATCAAATTGAAGTCTATTCCTCTCGCATTTATTCGACAAGACGATCAATCTTTATGTATTAAAACAGACTAAAGAATAGGAGATTACATTTTGATATTGCTGAGAGTAAAAAGTGTCAAATCTCTCAAAACTTTTTACTCTTGAAATGGAAAAGCTTCAGAATCAAGTCTTCTGTCCACATTCTTCTGGATCGACTGCTTTTCTTGTAGCCTCTCGTGTGTTCTTCCAAGTTCAGGATCAAATCATCCCATGGTGAGCTTCTCAAGACATAAATCAATTCCATTGAATTCCATTCCATTGAATTCATTTAATGGAATTGTTGCTTTGGATAAGCCAAATTTAAGATCTAAACTAGGTCTAAACATTGAGTAGCTTATAGCTTTTTTTTGTTTTTAATTTTATCACGAATTGAATGGTTGATTTATTGAAATAAACTTGAAACTATGACTATATTCAAAGGCAAATTATGTTGAAATACTGATTTACGCAATAAAAATCTGATTACGAATAGTAATATCAAACTTTTTCCACAGAAACAGCTGGAAAATTCAACAGAAAAAATTCACTCAATTAATAATAGGAGATTTAATAACGTACATTTAATACACCATACAATTTTTATTTAGGTTTTATTCTAATTTTTCAATAATTTTAAGTGTTTATTATCATATACTTTAAAAAAAATCCTGGTAATAAAAGCACGTGTTTTCTGGTTTCTATATAATTAAGAAAAATCTGCTTTTATGTTATTGTCAATAAAACCTCTGTATACGATATAATAATCAAATACAATGAAATGATGTTTTGTTACGTATCTTCTTTCTACGATGTAAAATACAGTTTCATCCTTTAGTTTTAAATAATGCGAAAGATAAAAGCTTTGCATAATATACTGTACACGAAATTCTGTTATGGCGAAATGTTATAAAGAATTTTTTATTTGTGTTTGGGATAGTGACATGGATTCAGTTTCGTGTAAAGAGGAAGTGAAATCGTTGACCGAATAGTGCAGTAAAGAAAAAAAATGGTTAAAAAATACTTACTTCGGCAGGAGGCTTTCCCGCGTGGGATTCGCAGGTCAATTCCACCGTCATTCCAGCCGTGGTCCGTAGGAAGTCTCCTTGGACAATATGAGGCGGTTCCGGTGGTACTGCGAAAGAAAAATAATATTACTGATACTGAAAACTTTAAATTAAATAATACTTTCTCGATTCTCATTTGCGGTAAAAATGAGTCATAAAACTTCCCGTTTAAGGAGATGCGCTGTCACAAATCAAATTCGATAATTTTTTAAATTTTCATACTAACAGACTACAACACTTCAAATCTGATCCGAAGAAAATAGCTTATAAATCATCCTATTCCACTTCCTTTAATTCTTAAAAACAAATGCACAGCAGTTTTTAAGAGAGAGGTGTGGTATGGTGTGACTGGACTTACAGCGAGATCAGAAGGATGAATTTGAGTTCATCTTTCTCAAGTGCATGATCGAATGCCGATTCCTATGGAGAAGCTAAATGACGGATTGAATTTATGTACGAAGGAGAAATCGGTCGTCCAGCTTCGATTACGTCGGATCCGTGCACTGTTCTCGGAACAGTTTGATTGGTTCAGAGAAGGGTTCTGATCGTACTCACAGCTGTTCTCTGTAATATGATCCGGTGTGAAGGGACAGACGGCCGTAAATGCTGCTACGTAAATCCCTGTCGAGACGGTCCTACATCCGTAAATCTTTCAAAAATTAAGAATTACATTGATAAGAAAGAATATGATGGACAGACATCGCGCCTTAATCAGTTTTCAAGGGCATCCATATGATATGTTAGAGTTTTTAGTAAGTGGATATCCTCTGTTATTCTCATCCACATGTAAGATGACTACTTTAAACAAGGAAATGGGGGTGCTTGACAGTGTTTGACAAAGATGAAATCCTCTGCGCCCAGATATAATCGATTTGATTTTTATGTCAGAACCACGATATAATTTTAATGGCATTTAAAAAAATAATTATTATAATGTTCAAATATACGTTAAATGATAAAAAAAACTGTACTCATATCAAAAACTATAAGAATCTCGCGTTAAAGTAACACGTATATGAAATCTTATTCTAGATTAATTATATTAGTAATATTATATGTGCCGAATTTTCGGCTATTTAAACCCTACAGTAAATAATTATTGGATATTATCGAGTAGTAACAAATCTTGTATGGAAATAGATCTCGACATACGAAACGTAAGCGTATATAATGTTATATTTGCGGAAATTCTGCTTTGGAATTCTATTCACAAGAGATTTCGAAGATAAACATGTTATGTAAATAAACAAATTATTATTATAATTACCCAATAAATTCCGCCAAGCAATATACAGTACAGCATCACTTAACATGCGTTTTGAGCATGAAAGTTTTACGAAGTTAGGTCTATATTACTCTAATTTTGCATATCTGATTTAAATGAAATAAGTACAAATTAATAATTCTATTTGCAAATGACACCATTAAAATTTTTATTTCCAAAAACTAAATTGTCTCTTTAAAAATTTGCACAACCTTTATATTTGAGTATAACATTGTTTTTACTATTTGATTATTAAGTTATAAAATAATACTTGAGCGTGTCTTCATATTTCGATATGAAAACATTTTTTCTTCTAAAAATATTTTCTTCGATATTCTAACAAAAACACCTAATTCTTACGAAAGAACAAAAGGGACGACACCATTCGATTTTAATTAGTAAAGATACTTATCGAGACCTCTAAGTGTACTCTTAAAGGCAGACTTTTATTTTACTTCTCAAAACATTAGATATTAGTAATTAATAATTTCGTTTGTTTCTTAATAATTACAGCATTGAAAGTTTTGGATTCATATTATTTTTAATTTCTACAATAATTTATTCGCTTTTGATAGTGCTTTTAATTATTAATATTTTATATTAATAATTAAAAGCACTATCATTTGTTATGGTGTAAACTTTTTGCAGATTTATCATTGTAGATTTATAGAAATATCTATGTTATTCATCATTAAATTTTAAACTTATTTCACATAACTTTTTCCAACTATTTGATATATACTTTCTAATATATCATTATTAAAATCCGACATCGTACAATTTCTGTTATGCATGACGCACATATGTTTATAATGTCAGATAATGGCATGCGACATCCGCAGACAATACGGTTTCAGAAAGAATCTGTGATTAATGAATTTTTAAGCGAAGAAGGAATCTCAAAAATTAACAGTTTTGAACCCTGAATGCTAGATTAATTTAATCAGATTGATTATTAATTGTTGTTTCTCTCCGTTGATTTTGAATAAGTAACGACTTCCACTGACGGTTGGGACTAAAAGAGGAGAGAAAGTGCTTGGTGAAAGAGAAAAGTTTTCAAATGAATGCCTGTTTTATAATTCCGAAAATTAATATATTCGTATTATTTTTTGAAAATACGTTTACCACTTTCTCCATTTTGTAACACAAGAAAGAAAACACGTGAACAATTGAATAACGCGCTTGGGAACTTCAACGGCTGAACCAACAAAACGGAAATTGCTTGGCTTGCTGGAAAGACCCAAACAACAATCGATTGAAACCTTTTTGCCTTTTGCAAAGAATACAAAAGGCAAAAAAGAAAACAGCTTAGCAAAACGAAAACAGAATAAAATCTAAGAATAAAGCAGTTATTAGCGGGAAAACAATAAACTGTGAAATGTAAAGCAATTAATTACCAGTATCTCTGGCTGCAGAAGATTAGTTTATATTTATTAATACACTAAAAAACATTTCGGAGTTTTACGTATTATTTATTTTATGATTACAGCATCTGTTATTTTTCTTTCCTTTTTTTTTCTTTAAATTTTATCTGAATGGTTGTAAAAACGCTTGGAACAGTTTGTAATCAGTTTTAGTTTTACATTAGAAACGATGGTTGTACGAAAATTTACGTAGTATAATCGAAAGTTACTCTATACTGTAACATTCTTATAGAATTATTTTAATATTATATCATTGTAAAATAGTAAATTGTAATTACTATTTTATTATTCGTTATCAGTGTGTGCGATTTTCCTTTAAAACTGAATTAGACGACTTCAAATGTGAAAGACATGTATCAAATTGTGCAGATAGTCAAGTAAATGTTTAAAAGTAACGGTATTTAGTGAATAAGTAGATTAAGTAAGAATATCAAGATATCAAAAGATCTAATATATATAAGTTATAGGCTATATATTTCTTTTGTGTCAGATATTAAATATGTAAAAGTTTTACATAATTTACTATTGGCTGAAAATTGATTAATAGAAATATAAAGTCAATGTTTGTATACTTTATAGTTAAATTTAATTAAAAAATGCAGAGTTTATTAAAATATATATCCATTCTATAACACGTCTGTGGCATTTTGATACGCAATTTTGATACGAAAAACAGACTGAAAGTTCATATTTTATTTCGATTCTGCTTAAAAATTCACTCATATTCTCCGATTACAATTCTCTTTTCAGTGATTCTGAAGTAAGTAATGTACATAAAACGACAATAAATTCATAAGATCATAAAGTTGTGCAAATATTACGGCCAACAACTTTAATAAACACCATCACTAAATGGTTACTGAATTAGTGACTACATTTAGAATAAGCATTCCAAACAAAAATAACGTGATAAATATTAAGTTAGATATACAATTTTAATGTTAATTTTATGTTGTTTTTGTCATCTTCAAGTACTTAATAATAAATTGAAACAAAATGTCATTTTCGTTTAAAAAAAAAAAAAAATATCATTGAAATATCACTGGAACAAAGTGGATGTCATTGCGTGTCGTGACAACTATTTGACTATTTTTTGAGATAATATCTGTGTGTGCGTGAATGCGCCTATGACTGATTTAATGTACTACTATAACTGAAAAGTAGTTTAAAGTAGAACAACGATTTTAACGTCAAAAATACATTATTTTTACGCGGTCACGCTGTTTTATGAAATGATTCAGAATCGAAAACGAGAATTATTATTCCTGGAAATTATTATTCGTGAGTTCTTGCCTCACCAACGTAAGTTTTCTGGATTTTCTTTACGTATCTAACAATTAAATGGGACCAGTTTCCCATAGAAAATCCTTCCGGGAGGCATCCCACTTTGGCAGATCGTCCACGTGTTGTGTTGCCTTACTCCACCAACCAGTCCAAATTTTTCTACATTCCCAATATCTTTAGATTCCAAATAAAAATTCTGAATACAGTAATGTGATGATTTTTTAATCTTTGTACGACAGCAGAGCTATTAATTTTAAGTTAATATGAGAAAATGAATGATCTTTGAAAGTTTAAACAATATAAATTTTATAGTAAAAAGATATAATCGTGAGTTATTTGTTTCTTACGATAAAGTCTTTACTTTGACTAATAAGACTACTTTATAATCAATGTCTCTGAAACAGTACATTTAAACAGATAATTTTTTTTTTTTAAATTGAAAGTTTTAGTTGTTTGCCTATTGTAATATTTTAGTATACGAAGAGAGTAGCGATTCTTTCGTATTTACAAATCGATGGAAAAACTTTAGTTTTAAATTATTCACAAACAAAAATATTACAACTGGTACTGATTTAATTTCCGCGATGAAAAATACTTTAAGCACATTTTCATGCTTACTAAGAGTAAGATATAATTTTCAGTTTTTACTTAAATTATCATCAAGCAACATTGAATTAATTGTTTAAGTAGAGATATATATTTCAAATTTTCTGATAAATTTCTTGGTTTTTTTAATAAACTTTTTGCATAGGAAAAATTTATGATACACTGAAAAATAGTCAATTTGTAGAATTATATAAAAATTCTTAAAAAGTTAAAGACTTGTTAGTCTCGATTTTTTCCATTCTATGGGTACCAAGAGGGCTTTTAATCATACCCATTATTGGTAAGGCTAGGCCATTGTGGAATGGGGCGGCTGGGTGGTGAGGAACAAAGCCCGATATATCCGGAACCGAACAGTTCCCGAAAAATTCCTGGAGTTTTTCAGACGTGTGGATTCGATTCCGGATTTCCCAGAGCAGAAGGTTGAGGCCTTAACCATCTTGGTTATCAGGCCGTCTACAGTTAGTTGACTTATTTAATAAGGCTTGCATATGAAGCAGGCATAGCCTATAACAACATATTTTTCGAGGTTTTATAATTAATTTCGATTTGTACATTTTAACTTTTATTTCTACTTCTGAAATAGAATTTAAAGAGCTTAAATTCTTAAATTAAACGAAAAATTAAACTTAGCAATTTCATATTTCTGACCTGAGTATTTTTGTCGTTTCAAAAATTTAAATTTGTAATATTTTGTTGTAAGTGAATAATATACGTCAATACAAATTTTCTCCTTTCTTGAAGACGTGTGTGAAAATATTGTAATTGAATTTATAAGAATTTATTTTTAATTTAAAAACAATTTTATTATGAAATTGGTTACTGGTATGATAACTACAAAAGTAATTTCCATATGAATTAATTTTAAATCAAAACTGAGAAAATATTATATGCAGAAATATTTAATATTTGAAAAAAATTCCGTTTGTCAAGTGCTCTTTCAATACAATAAAGTATTGAAACGATGCCGTAAATGAAATTGAATTTATTAATATGCATTTAAATAAATATAATAACTATAAAAAAAAATTAAAGTTAAAAACGAATCGAATTTGAATGTCAATAATAAAATTAGCAGAAAACTTATTCCTTGGAGCCGAGTTACAAGGCTATTATTCAATATATCATAGATTGAAAGAAGACTGAATCGATAAGTGCTGGGCTAAATCAAAGCTAACTGCTCCCTAGAAGCGATGATTCGCAAACAATATTTTTCATATTTTCGATACGTCATGCATGAAGATAATACATTAGAGAAAGAAAGATTACACTTAGCAAATGCCAAAAAAAATAAAAGAAGAAATACAGTGAACAAAATTAGAGATGTACTGGAAACATTGCAAAAACTAAATTTTACGAAAAATAAACAAAACAGCAAACTTTTGCTTATGTAGTCTTCAATAGGCAGGTGTAAACTAATTAAATGAAATCTAACAAAGTAATATGAATAATAGATTGCTGTATGTCATTATTTCTTACTGAATTTATGTGCTTTCGTCTTCTAAATGTAAAGTTTTAAGAGAAGAAACGAGAGAAAACTATTTTTCACTAAAGAAAATTTCGAAGAAGCTCAAAAAAGTATTGCTGAAGGAGAAAGCTAGTTTATCTCAAATCACAGCAAACTTCTTTATAAATTATACAATTAAATTCAGAAATTTGTTCTCAGAAATGTGTTTGAGAATATTTCAAAATTTGACTTTATACAGATAACTCTACAAATTTAGAATTTCAAGTCATTTGTTTGCTATTTGTTTCCATACTAGTTCATCTCAAGAATTTTTCTTTTAATGTAAAATATTTATTTTAACTGAAATCAATAAAACCCAAAATTTCAATAATTGTTTATTAACTTAGCATTCCTAGCTAAATCAGCACGTGTCCACACCAAAAATCATGTTTCTTAAAATATTAATCGAATTATTTCATCAGGATAATGACTTGCTAATTGATTTTCGCAAATTTTCTGATCTGGTAGTAATTAAAAGACTTGGGAAAATCAAATTGCTGTAAAGCACATAATATTTTAAACGTAAAAAAAGTGAAAATATTTTATCTGAAAATTATTTTCTTTATTATCACGTATCGGCATCATAAAAACTAATGGTCAAGTACAGTTACAAATCAGGAATTATTTTTAAAGGGTACATACTGTTAGATCCCATACTGCGTACTCTTATCTACCTTATTTCTAAGAGTATGTGCTTTTTGCAAGAGTTTTATTTTTATTTCTCAGTCTATGCAAAACATTTCTTTCTGACTTTACAAATACATTAATTCATTAAGAACAATTCAAAGAGTCAATTGATAGTATCAAATCCAAATTTATCTTCATAGTGGAGTATTAAGAAGGCAAAATCTCAAAAGTACTGTACTGTACGTCGTACTCTTATACGATCTTACCCTATGTCAAATTAATAATGGAATAAATAACTCATTATCTTTTTCAAATATTAACATAGATCTTAATATTTTAAAATTCTATGCGAGTAATTTATCCGTTTTCATATTTATTCATTAAGGTATATTCAGTTTTCTATTTTGTCAACTTTGCATCTTCAAATATCAAAGTTAACACTCGAAGAAATATATTCTCTTTTGAAATATTAAGGTCGAGCATTAATATTTCAAAAAATATTGCAGAAGAGCTCACTATTTACGATGTCAAACATTTCAAATTTCATTCAGTAATTGGTTTGTAAAAATACTCTTCAATTCAGTTATAAAATATTGATTTTCGCTTCTTTAGATTTTTGAAACTCCTTAGAAACTAGACCATAAAAGCTATCTGAAGTCGAGTGGAAAATTTGGCACTTACATCAGTCAACATTGAATCACATTGAATCGTAAAAACTTTCCTAAGGATATATCTAGCATTGAGTTATGCAATTACAAATTCCTTATCAGTGGAAAGAAAGTAATTTGGAAGAAGATATTTTTACACAAAAAGTAAAATTTTCTAAACTGTAGATTCGACTGTTAAGCGAATATGAAGTATTTTCAATACACGAAAATGATTTTTTTTTTTTAAGAAAATGAAAGTAAAATATATAAGCAAATGCTTATATTAATAATAATATGCCATTGACGATATGGGACTTAAGAGAGTCATTTTGGTTTAAATCATAACTTGTATATAATGTTGTTTGTGAAATAGATATGATGATATGGGCTTATACCAGAAGATAACCGTCACTTTTCAATTTACGAATATTTAAGGTACGAAATATTTGAATTTCATGCTTTACTACTTACCGTATACCGTGAATATTCCATTTCTAGATCTGATTCCTTTAACTCCTTCGGCGGCTCCCACCTGGCATTGAAAAACCGCGTCGTCATCCAGATTGACATTCGTGATCTGCAGGGAGAAGTCACCTAGAAAACAAAAACGTAATCAGCCGAATTCGGTATACGAAATTCCTATATAAAACTATGAACGTTTATATGTATGAAAAATAGCCAACAGCCACGATATTCAAAAGTTTTCATAGTCGTCGAAGAACTTGGTAGATTTCTATGAAAGAATGGAAATCTCTGAAAGAAACCATCAATAATGGAGCTGATGGTTAGCTATATCCGATTAATTGATTAGTAAAACAGATGCCACGGTGTTGGACATTAGCGGCGAATCGACGAATTTATGTACTAACCATTCTCGATGATTAGTCTCCATTAAACTCTAATTAAGAGTCCCGCTCGAAATTGTCGTATCTGAACGATTTTAAGTTATTAGGCATGTTAAGCAACAGAACTAATGCTGAAGATTTAACTCCCTTCATTAAACCATTTGTGTACGTTTAAAAAATTAGGTTATTTACAGGAAAAAATAAGCCAAATAAAAAAGTTTCGAGATTTTTTCCCGACGTTTTATTCTTATAGCAGTGAATAGTTCAATTCAGTTTTTCTATAGAAATTGCCACGATGATACTTTACACTTCGTGTGATTTTGATTTGATTAATTATATTAAGAAACATAAAAATTTATATATAAGAATCAATTTTATAAATCAAGAAGAAATCAAAATATCTTTACCTTCTTCGTCGCTTCCCACCATTGTGTATCGAGGGAATCCTCGTAATTCTCGATCCGAACCCAATCCAAATCCATCTCTGGTCCACTGTAGGGTACCGACCTTGTTCAAAACCCTGCAAGGTAGCACCACTTTGGCTCCGACAATGGCTGTTCTGTCCGCCGGCTCTATGGCAAATATTTGCTGGGGTCTGGCTACATTATACAAAATATCAAATTAGAATTTTTTGCAGATTTGTATGTATTTTTTAGAAAGTTACCATTATAAAAGATTTTATTTTAATTCGATATACGAATTAGCAATGGTAAAACAAAATTAAATACTGTACATAAATGTCAAAAATACTCATTAACGGTAGTGTTAAAATCGAAAACAGAATAAATTTGTATTCATTTAACGGGGAAAAATTTTAATTTCCTTTATTAAACCAATTTTCAAAGAGACTTTTCCTTACTGATAATGAAATTATATATATTGTTTTCTGCAGGATACCAGAAAAAATTGAACAATCTCTGTAGATAAGTTTCGTAAAAAGATCTACAGTATATAAATCAGGATCAACTTGACTTATGATAGCAGTATACTTCAGCAGATAGATTCTAGATTTTAGGTATACTTTATTTAACGTAATATATATTTTATATAACACAATGTAAATTTTTTTCTGATGCAGTTCATCCATTACAACAGAAACGTATAAGGGTATGAAACTTACGGATGATACAGTATAGTAATTTAATATGAGAGCACCAAATATCCAATACAACAATATACTAAGTGAGTTTCTTTTATAATTTCGATTTGTTTTCTTTACATCTCAGTATGATGCATCTAGTATGATATATATTTTTCAAGAACGATTTGTAAATATTATCTTCGAGATAATTTTAAGTATGTCAAATCTTAAGATACATTCTCTCCTAAAATTTTATATCTCGTCTAAAGCGAAACGTGAACGTTATTATTTTTAAAGTTTTCTACAATGTTTTTAAAAATTTTCTGTAAAATCTATTTAAAATATTGGAACATAAATTTTTTTAACTGAATATAAACACTAGTAATATTGAAAGTACCATAAATGCATAATATTCTCCACTTCTTTATTCTAAAATTTACTTATTTCAGTTTTGTTAAGCCTCTTTTTTTAATCCTTACTTAGCTAAAGAGTTAAGTGCCATACAAAGTTTTATAAAATTCAAAACTTGTAGCAATATTTTTATTCATTGCTACATAATGGAATTGCTTCTACAAACGATCGTTCTTCGTTATTTTCTATATCATTTATTCCAAAAGATTTTTATGAAATAATAAAGACTGCTTAATCGCTTGTAACTGTGTTTATATCCACTTTCTAATATAGATTATTAAATAATTATTTAGCTAATTTGAAGTTGTACAGTACATTATTTTAATGAGAATTAAAAAATATACAAGTACTGTACATTTTTAAAAATTCTTTTTTTTATTTAATTATGTCGAATGCCAATTTAAATTAAAACAAAACTTAAATATTTTTATTATTTTTGAAATAAATATTAAAAATTATACTAAAAAGTATTCATAAAATACATTAAGCATATATACATAAATTATCATCAGAAGAATGCATAAAATATTTATAATAAAAATAGTATAGATAAATGGAAACATGGTATATATCAATGCATTTTTTCTATATTTATTGGAATAAAAGTATTTACTTATGCTAATAGAATCATTCAATATACAAAAAACTGATTTAAAAAGATATACAAGTGTACAGCTCATACAATAGATGTGCTTGTTTGTATTGTATGATTGCACTAATTTATATTCATATATCAAGTAGAATAATGTCTTGTAAATATGTATGTACTCTATAAACTAATATAAAGAATTACGTAAAGAACTATATAATGAACTAATTATTAGCATTGATTTTATTTTTGATTATTGCCAAATTCAAATTATAGATTTAATTCGTTAGTAATAGGTTCGTGTTTAGACAAAGTTTTATTATTAACAAGTTTCAATGATTTCAATCGACTTTTCATTATTATAAAACAAAGAAAAAACGGTTTAAGAAACGGTAGAAGGATAATTAAATTTATCTTATTAACTTAAGCTCATTGGAAACCGTTTTTGATTCACTACCAATTCGTACCGGATTTAATTTAAAGAGGAATCAAAGCGGTTGCCTAAGGTCTTCATGAAAATAATTAAATCTAAGAAAGTGAATTAAAATTTTTTCATTTATTTTTTTTAATTATTGGAAATTTTTATCTAACGTATTGGTTATTTTTAGGTAACATTTAAGTCAAAGTTCTATCGATGTTGTAATTACTATTGGAAGAGAATAATTAGGAGAACATAGTAAAGTTTAACAATGGTTTAACAATCGATTATCTTAGGAAGATAGATGAATTCGAACGATACTGACCATTACTTTGCTGTAAACAACCTGATCAAATGTTTAAGAGTAATTCGTTGACAAGTCTCGAAGACAGTGTAGTTCAATTTGTAGCGATAACTTCTACAAAGAAAAATGTTACCAGAAGAATTGTTTGTTTTATAGTTATTTTTGAGAGTGATTTCAGAATTATATTTCAAATACTGGCATTGTTTTAAGGATTAAAATCCTGATTTATTATTTTTTATTATTATTTTGTTAAAATTTTGTTATGAAGGTATGGCTACAAAAGTTAACAACCATTTTTAAAGATGGAAGTTGATGTTTTTATCTAGTATATCTCAACACTTTGATTGCCTCGAGACCAAAAGCCAGTAAATTCGTCCTTGACTCTAACGACACTCCAGGCTAACGATGTTTTTAAACTATGTCTCAAGGGTACGATGAAGGACACCTTGAGAGTCAACGATACAATATAATCTATGATTGTCACGAAGAGTTTTAATATGACATACGAAAATAGATAAATTTTGCATTCATTAGAATTTATAACAATTATGATGATGAAAATTAACGTATGTTTGGATAGGCTTTTAACTCGGTTCAAGAGATGATCTGAATTGAATCCAATTGAATAACTTAACGCATTTTCGATTGTCTTTCTCGATTTTTGTTTTTAAATAAAGTTTGATATAATTTATTTAGTCTGGTTTACGTTCTACTTCTAACATTCTTCCAAATTTTAAAGGACGAACAATTTCGAAAATGCAGTCACATTATGATATAAGATACATCGTGCAAAATTCTAAAACTTGATTTTTTTCCTATTACAGTATTAAGAAGATTCGAATAAAACTTTAATATTTATAATTTCTTTTAAAATATTATTTTAATAATTAGATTAAATTGTCTTCAACTAATTTTTGAATTAATAAATCAAATAATCATATAGTAAACTATTATCGGTTAGACCCTTTTTTCAATAAATGTAATAAATATTTTAAGTAACGATGCAATATATGCTTCAATAATTAAACTTTTCATGTTTATTCTTATGAAAAAGTATTCCTAGTTTTCAATTTTTTTTCCTTTTAGTTCACAAAATTTTGACATTAATAATCATTGCAAAATATTTATACGTATCTCTTTCATAGTTGCTGATTAGAATATATTTTCTATTTGTCTAATAAAATAGTGTCTATTTTTTCAACTAGTGGTGTTGACCCATGGGATTATTTTCATCTTTAATCGTCTCTATACAAAAAAAGAAAGAATTTTTAAATTGTATTTGTAATAAAATTTCAAAAATATGATTAAAAAGAAGATTCGAATGAAATAACGTGTTCAAAAATGAATCAAACCGCGGATTTTTATATTAATATTTATTTATTTAATGTGATGTTATCATTATTTATCAAACATTGAAACGTTATAGCTTATCTAGTCACGTAATTCAGTAGCAAGTAGTCATTAAATTACTGCATTTATCATTTCATTTGTAAATGTTCACAGACGCCATCAAATATATAATTAAGGAAAGCAAGAAGAAAAAAATAAATATTATAATAGCATTCAAATCTTCTGAATAAAAACATATCTATAATCGATAAAATTCTATATTCATAATGTAATTAAAAAAATGTCTGAGATAATGGCATAATTTAACAATGAAACGATGATTCAATATTTCTGTTATATTCATCATTCATATTCTATCAATGAAATAATGATTCGTAATTATATTATACGAAATAATACCTTATAATTTCGAATTTTCCTAATGAATACTTTTCGTTAGGGACATAAATAATATTAAAGATGCAGCTAAATAAATTTATTCATACATAATGGTATTATATTATACAATTGTAAATGCAAATCATATTTATCCCTGAATGACAAAGTTTCTATTTTTATTTCTGGGCTACATAAAAAATAATGAAACGAATCATTATCTTAGAAATTCATTATCCTATTTCGAATAACGTTCTAGTCTGTTCAGCATGCTTTAAGAATTGTATTATAGCTTGTATGTAACATGTTTTAAAATAACATTCTAATGGCAGGAAACTTGTTTATTCCATTCTTCTTCTGTGATTTTAATCCAGATATTCGCTTGTGAAACTATTTAAAAAAACCCATTTTCTAAAAAGAAATTAAACAATATATAAATATATATCCCAGGGTATAAATTGTATATATAAATAAAGATTGCGAAACTCAAGTTAGGAAGTAAAATGTTAATGTATAATTATTATTTTATGTTTGCATTTGCTTTATTTAAAAAGCCATTTATTTACCCAATTTTGTTTGTTTCAGTTTTAATTTTGTATATAAAATTTAAGCATTAAGTCATGTAAAAATCTGCTAAGAAATTATTGATTTAGAATTATAATTTGGATAAATCTCTCAATATCTTTGAAAGCTTCTGATGATTATGAATTGTGAAATATTTTACGATGATAATTGTCATTGCACTACGACTTATATCGCTAAATGTAATTTTAGATTAATTTAATTCTTGATTTTTTAAAATTATAAATTTAAAAATCGCAATTTTGTGCAATTTAATAAAGGTTAATCGTGAAATTTTTTGATGATAAAGACTTATAATATACATTTATCAGTACATTAACATGTAATAAATCATTGATTAGTGTATATTAGTGAAAAAATTTCATTTCGTTAACGTAGTAACCGTAAGTTTAATCATTGACTTTGTCAGATTTAAATTACAGAAATGTATTTTGAATGTTCAAAACGAAAAGATGGTTACCAGATTAGAGCATTAATGTAAATTTTTAG